TTTTCTTCCTCTTCCTCTTTCTCTCCTCCTCCTCCCCCTTCCACTCTTCTTCTCCCTTCTCTTCCACTCCCCTTTCCCCGTCCACTCCCTCTGTCTCCTCTTCCTCTTCCTCCTCCTTCTTCCTTCTTTGGGAATAGCTTAGATTGGGCCTAAACAGAAGTCATCCATTTCTGTGTCATTCTTTGTTTCTTTTCTAATTGTAAATTCTGATTTACTCAGATCTTCTGAGTTGAAGAACTAAGAATTAAAGAGATACATGGCAATGCGTTAATTTATCATAATAGATCTGCCGTCATAAGAGTGTAATTGCAGATTTAGAGCTTGAAGGCACCTTGGTGGCCATTGCATTTTAAAAAGGTTATAACATTCGTGTTTGTTAAGACAAAGTCAGGATTTTTGCCTATTCAAATCATATATCATGCCAAAAGATGTGTGTGTGTGTGTGTGATTTGTTATGTAGGGACACTAGGTGGTGCAGTAGATAGAGTGCTGGGCCTAGAGTCAGGAGGACCTGAGTTCAAATCCAGCCTCAGACACATACTAGCTATATGACCCTGGGCAAGTCATTTAACCTCTGTTTGCCTCAGATTCTTCAACTGTAAACTGTAAAATGGGAAGCCTGGTGAAGGAAATGGTAAATCAGTATTTTTACCAAGAAAATCCCACTGAGGTCACAAAGAGTTGGACATAGCTAAAAAAAAGATGTAACAACAACAACAAATTTGATATGTGGTATTATTTTTTACTTTTATATACATATATTAGGATTAAAAACATAAAAATACAAAAATGCTAATTGGTAGCATATTTTAGTATATATTACACAATGTCTTACTTATTATATAAGAACAGGAAGGCATTAGAATGGAGAAGTAAAGAGCTGAATTTGGAGTCAGAAAGCCATGAGTGTGAGTATATATTTTGACACGTTATCCTTGTGACCCTGAATAAGTCATTTAACCTCTAAATGTCTGCAGGCAACTCTGTAAGGTTATAAAGGGAAGAATAGCTGCTAATTTCCATTAGTAAAGAGAGTTCCTTCCAATACCAATGCAGTCACAGATCTAGGCATATGTATGTGAATGTGTGTGTGTGTGTGAGTGCAGGGGTGTGTGTGTGTGTATTGTGTGTGTTTGCCAATGTAGAAGAAAACATGAAAACATAAATGCAAGGCATATATACATACGTTTATGTATATAGTATCTGTGTGTATATTATGTGTATAAATCTTTAAGGTCTCTTCAAGCTTTTACTCAACAATCCTGTGATCCTGGCCACCTATATATTATGAATCTATATCTATATAGTATATAATGTGTATATGTGACAGGTGGCCAGAATGACATGATTGAAGACTAAAAGATACATATGTATTATGCATAATATGTAATTATATATTTATATAAATATGTGGAGTGAAAGCACTGGCTTACTTGAGCTCTCCCCCCAAATCCTCCAAATACCTGTAAAAAAATGGTTATAAACAAATTCTAGAGCAGCAGAACCCATGGAAAGACAGAGTGAAACAAATTTCCAGCCCAAGACAACCTGGATGGGTGATTAGAAAGATCTATCATGCCTGGCTGGGAGAGGAATGCAGCTCGGCATGGGCACACAGGCAAAACAGGCCTCAGTGTACCTGGAGCAGGCCTCAGAGGAATAAATCACAGGCAGCTGTGGCAGTTTCCAGACTTCTCAACCCATGAATGCCAAAGACAACTTAGAAGGTCAGTAGGAAAAGTCTGTGACTGTGGTGAGAGAGAAGCTAGGTCCCAGCCCCAGTCTCTGCGCTTGGCCCTGGGGCAGCAGCTATTTCCAGAGCTTCTGGCCCACAGACTGAGGGGGAATCGAGTAGCTGATCACAGGGCAATTGCAGGGATCTTTTGCTGGTGCTGAGGCAGGATTCTCTTGCTTTGCCCGTGCTTTGATCTGGGTCACAGTTCTGGGTGGTGATCCTGATGCTAGAAGGAGCGCTGGCGTAGTGGAGCTTGTAGTGATTATGAAGAGGAAATCCTCCTCACAGTTCCAAGGCGGAAAAGAGTGCTTGTGGTCACTCATTGACCAGAGCATAGGCCAGGAAAGGAGTAAACACCTCGCCTTTAATCATACCACCTTGGGAGAACTGAAAACTTGTAGGTCCCTAGAAGTGTCTCTGAAAACAGCTGCACAAAACCCCCGAAGCTTGGGACAGTACGTTCTCCACATTGGAAGCAGACCCCTACCTTGCAGAGTGTTTAAAACTCAAGTAATTAGCTGGGATCATGAGCAAACAAAGGTGCAAAAAAACAGTCAGGCCATAGAATCTTTCTTTGGTAACAAAGAAGATCAAAACATACAACCAGAAGAAGACAACAAAGTCAAAGTTCCTACATTCAAAGCCTCCAAGATAAATATGAATCAGTCCCAGGCCATGGAAAAGCTCCAAAAGGATTTTGAGAAGCAAGTAAGAGAAATAGAGCAAAAACTGGGAAGAGAAATGAGAGTGATGCAAGAAAATCATGAAAAACAAGTCAACAGCTTGCTAAAGGAGACCCCCCAAAAAATACTGAAGAAAATAACACCTTAAAAAATAGCATAACCCAAAAGGCAAAAGAGGTCCAAAAAGCCATGAGGAAAAGAATGCCTTCAAAAGCAGAATTGGGCAAATGGAAAAGATGTCCAAAACCTCACTGAAGAAAATACTTCCTTAAAAATTAGAATGGAGCAACTAGAACCTAGTGACTTTATGAGAAATCAAGATATTGTAAAACAAAACCAAAAGAATGAAAAAATAGAAGACAATGTGAAATATCTCATTGGAAAAGCAACTGGCCTGGAAAATAGATCCAGGAGAGATAACTTTAAAATTATTGGACTATCTGAAAGCTATGATAAAAAAAAAATTATTGGACTATCTGAAAGCTATGATAAAAAAAAAGAGTCTAGACATCATCTTTCAAGAAATTATCGTGTGGTGGATAGATCACCAGCCCTGAAGTCAGGAGGACCCGAGTTCAAATCTGGCCTCAGACCAAACACTTGACACTTACTAGCTGTGTGACCCTGGGCAAGTCACTTAACCCCAATTGCCTAAAAAAAAATTATCAAGGAAAACTGCCCTGATATTCTAGAACCAGAGGATAAAATAGAAATTGAAAGAATCTGCTGATCACCTCCTGAATGAGATCCTCAAAGGAAAACTCCTAGGAATATTGTAGCCAAATTCCAGAGTTCCCAGGTCAAGGAGAAAATATTGCAAGCAGCCAGAAAGAAACAATTCAAGTATTGTGGAAACACAATCAGGATAACACAGGATTTAGCAGCTTCTACATTAAAGGACTGCAGGGCTTGGAATATGGTATTCTGGAGGGCAAAGGAGATAGGATTACAACCAAGAATCACCTACCCAGCAAAACTGAGCATAATCCTTCAGGGGGAAAAATGGTCATTCAGTGAAACAGAGGACTTTCAAGCATTCTTGATGAAAAGACCAGAGCTGAAAAGAAAATTTGACTTTCAAATACAAGACTCAAGTGAAACATGAAGAGGTAAACAGGAAAGAGAAATCATAAGGGACTTATTAAGGTTGAGCTGTTTACATTCCTGCATGGAAAGATGATATTTGTAACTCATGAGACTGTTGTCAGTCATAGGGTAGTTGGAGGGAAAAAATATGTGTATGATATAGATAGATAGATAGATAGATAGATAGATAGATAGATAGATAGATAGATAGATGGCACAGAATGAGTTGAAGTTGAATGAGTGATATCTGGAGAATAAAATTAAGGGGTGAGAGAGGATTATACTGGGAGAAGGAGAAAGGGAGAGGTAGAATGGGGTAAATTATCTCATGTAAAACAGACAAAAAAGGGCTTTTACAGTGGAGGAGAGGGGGGGATGAAGGTAAGGAATGAGTGAATCTTATTCTTATAGGATTTGGCTTAAGGAGGGAATAACATACATACTCAATTGGGTATGGAAATCTGTCTTACCCTACAGGAAAATGAGGGGGGAAGGGGATAAGAGAGCAGGGGGATGATAGAGAGGAGGGCAGATTGGGGGAAGGGGTAATCAGAAGCAAGCACTTCTGAGGAGGGACAGGGTCAAAAGAGAGAATAGAATAAATAGGGAGCAGGATAGAATGAAGGGAAATATAGTTAGTTTTCCACAGCATGACTGCTATGGAAGTGTTTTGCATGATTACACATGCATAACCTGATTGAATTGCTTGCCTTCTCAATGAGGGTAGGTGGGGAGGAAGAAAGGGAGAAAATTTGGAACCCAAAGTTTTAAAAACAAATGTTAATAAAAAAAATTTTTTTCACATTCAACTGGGAAATAACAGGCAATGGGGTATAGAAATCTGTCCTGCCCTACAGGAAAATTAAAGTGGAAGGGGAAGGCAGAGATAAAAGGGAGGGCAGATTAGGGGAAGGGGTATTCAGAATGCATGCCATTTTGGGGTGGGTAGGGGGATGAGATGGGGACAAAATTTGGAACTCAAAATATTATGGAAGTGAATGTTGAAAACTAAAAATAAAATTAAAAAAACACTAAAAAGCATAGCAATAAAGCTTTTCTTAAAATTAATAAAAAATTAAAAATTTAAAAATGTTCATATTTATATAAGTATTATATGTAAATTATATATATATATACATATATATGTATATATAAAACTTATAAGTAGCAAAGATCACCTGATTTTAAAGTTGAAAGGGACTTTAAAGATCTAATTAAAAGTCCTCATTTAATAGTTGAAGAAGCTGAGGTCCAAGAGATTAAGTGATTTGCTCAAGGTCATAATTAATAAAAGGCTAAGACAAGTTCTCTGGTCTCAATTCAGCTCTCTGTCCACTCCATTGTGCTACTTCCATTAACACATATCCCATACTTCAAAACTCTCTCTCTCTTCTTTTCTCTCTGGATTATAGTTCTTGATAATTTATGTGATTGTTACATTGGTTCAAATAATTTCACTGATGTCTATCTCATTTTTCCTCTTTTTTTTTCAATAGGCTGAACTAAATGACACCATAAATCCTTTCATTTGTTCAAATGTAAAAGCTGAAAGGAACCAAACTTTCTTCCAGTATATAGGATCTAGACTTGCCCAGGCACTTTCCAAACTGTTTTTACCACCTGTTGGCCCACGTAGTCTTCTTCTAAAGAGATATGGAAAGGAGCAAAATCAGATGAAGTATCAAACACCAAAACAATACCAGATGGAAAAGAAAGTTATACGCATCTTTTTCAGGTATAGTAAAGCCTCATTTAACTTGCATAGTTCTGGTCATTTTATGTGCTGTATTTTAAAGGTGCTTGAACAAAATATAACCATTCTCTAGTAAATGCATAGTTTCTATTTTTTTAATAATAGTGCTGTTTTTTTTCCACATAGTTTTGCTATTAGTTTCATATGGTTTCCTTTTTTTATTTTCAAATTCATTATTTTCAAAGATATAGGAAAAGTTATCCTATTGCAAATTGTTTTTAATTTTTTACAATCACCTTTAATTTAAATACAAAAGTCATTTCTTTTTTTTCTAGCATTTACCTGTTACCTTTTTTGTGTAGTAGAATATCTTGCCAAATCTAGACTTTATGTCAAGTAGAAAGATGGAAGAACACTCTAATATGTGGCATTGGCATTGTTAGAAATGTGATCATTGGTATGATTTGTAAATGGATAAGTAACCTCTTTAGATTTAGTATCGTAAAATCTCCTGAGAGAACTTTATAGATGCTATTACTACTGAAGGTAGAAATTAAGGAGAAATATCTCACAAGTGACAATGTCCTCTGTCATTTTTCATAGTTTCATAGTTTTTATTCATAATAGGTGCCAATCTGGCCAATAAGTATTTTAAACTATTTAAATTTTCATTTCAATTTCATTGATTAATTTAATTAGATATTATTTACTATTATTTGTATTACATTATAATTATTGTATCACATAATTTTTATTTAAAAACATAGCAATAGCCACAGAATCACTCAAACCAAGCCCTGGCTATTTACAATGTTATCATGGAATATTATGGAAGAATATGATAGTTACACTATAGTATGTTAGTCTCAAAAGGCTAGAGACAAATTCAAAATAATCTTATCTTCCATTACCTATTCTATGTAAATCACCCATGAATTTATAAAAATCTTCTTCCATTGTCAGCATGAATAACTTTTTGGGAAATGAATTCTATGCGTTTACTATCAGGGAGGAGGAATTTGAGGTCTCATTTTTGTAAGGTTTTGAGGGGAACAGACTAATTTTTATCTCTGCCACCATGGGGTTAGTTCATTAACATATCCAAAATCATCTCAAACTTCAAAGTTAACATATCCACTTTATCTCAAGGTTATCAGCACCTTTTTGATGTTCTGCTGGTCTGGAACTGTGAGGGTCTGGAATTTGTCTGGAATTTACATATCCTAGGACCAGAACCCTGCAGTACTGATTTGGCATACATTAACAGGATGTGAATTTTGGTTAATAAATGATAAATTTGTAGATTATGCTCCTTTCATCTCTGGGATAGTTTGTATATGACTTCCAGGTTCGCCTTTGCAATCTTATTTCCTGATATTGCTCCTTTATACTGACTACTTATAAACTTACTATACTGATTAAGAAAGGGGTGGTAGTGGTAAGGAGGATCAGAACAAAATGCAATTTGAACACACAAGGTTGTCTGTTCTATCTTTTGTAATTACCTCCGTTCCTTGATTGGTTAAGAATACATCTCCTACTCATAGCTATGAGAGGTATATGATCTGCTGTTCTTCTCATTCATCTTATAGTATGAGCTATGAAAATAAGGTCACACGTCCATTTAAAATGTATAATGGAATATGGTGAAAAGTATTAGTCTCAATCAAATTTCTGCCAGACTGCTTTTTAGTTTACCTAGCAGTTTTTATCATAAAGGGAATTCTTTCCCAATTTATCAAACATGGGGTTATTGAGTTCCTTTGTTTCTGAGTCTTGATGTAGTCTGTTCTGTTGAGCCATGTCTCTATTCTTTAACTGTTACCAGATGGTTTTGACAACTGCTGCTATAATATAGATAGAAGTCGGGAAGTGCTATTACCGCTTCATCCCTAGGTGTTTTTGTTGTTGTTGTTGTTGTTGTTGTTGTTGTTGTTGTTGTTGTCATTTCCCTTATTAATCTGGATCTTTTGGGGTTTTTTTTCAAATTTTTAAAAATTATTTCATCAAGCTCTGTAAAATATCCCCTTGATGATTTGATTGGCATTAAAAGTGTAACTTAACTTTAGTAATAGTGTTTTTTTTTAAATAAATTGGCATAGCCTAACCACAAGTACTGAGTATTCTGATCTAATACTCCAATCGACTGAGAGTGGGAAACAACAAAGCAGTACTGGCACTGTCAGTGATTGTTCTGCTGCCTTGGGGTTTCAGTGGGGTTTACATAGGGGTATTTCCTTTCTAGAGCATTACCCTTTCTAGAACCTTCCTCTATCTGGATGGGGATGATCCATTCTTTCTCATTTTATGGTGAACAGGAGGGCATTTCTTCTTGATGTCGATGGGTAATTTCCCTCTGAACATCTGAGCCCTAAGCCTTATCTCCAGATGCAGAGTGTGAAGGACCACCCAGTATCTAGCTTGGGGGCCACCTTGATAATGTTGGCTCTTTGCCAGAGACGGTAACCTATTGTAGTAGATAGTAAGAGCATGCCAAGGCATAGGGTGTTTTAGCAAGTCAACTATTAAGTTTTTACAGCAAATTAAAACTGTGTCACAAGCCAAAGTTAGGAGATAGATTGCAAATAGTAAGGTAATGTTTAGGAGACATCAGAAAAACATCTAGTTCAAGAAACATCAAAGGGCCATACATAATAACATATTTTAACTACCATCTGCCACCTGAACCTTTGATCACCTTATGTGAAAACCACACTACTGCTGTATATAAGAATTGCCAATGGTTAACCCAGTTCCACAGGGCTTTCAACAGATAGAATCCAAGAACACATATAGGAACAAAGTTCAAGGCCTCTGTGTAGCCAAGCCTCTCATGAGGTAGGGCTTATCCAGTAAAAAAGGTTCTCTAGTGGCACAATTACCTGGATGGATTCAATTTTCAACCTCAGGATTGACCAGATGAGGCATTTTAGATATTGAACCCAACCAGGATTTCATCCTTGCAAGGTTCTGGGGCTGCCACTATGTAGAGGGGTGGGGCTTAGGCATCCGACACATAGTGGGCACTTAGGAAATGCTTATTAACTATAATCCATATGGAGATATTCAAGAGATAGTTGAGAATGATGGTTTTAAACTCAGAAGAAAGACATGGTTGAATATGTAGACTGTATTTATCAACATAGAGGTATTAATTGAAGTAGTAGGATAAATAAATTCATTAATAGGGGAAAATGCAGATAAAAAATAGAAAATGAGTTGTAAAAAACATATATAGGCAGGGTGCTCCAATAGTTTTAGTGTAGTTTTAAGCTTTAATATTTTCAGAAGTATAAATGCTACAAACATAAATAATCATTTGAAATTTTATTTTTATTTTATATTTCTTGGTTTTGTGAATTTTGAATAATAAAATTTTAATTTATCATTATGGGGGCACCCTCTATTATACATTGCATGTGGGACAGTTTCTGGATGACACTTTCTCAGACTGTTGAATCAATAGTGAAGGTCCTTTTGCTTGGCCAACTCAGTCACTTAATCTACCTTCATTATAATTTTTCTTGGGATTGAGGTCATGTAAAAACTGTCATGTATGTACTAACACCTCATTCTTGGAAGATCTTAAGGTTAATATTACAAATGCAATCCTTTTAGCTGATGAGATTTTGCAAAGTTTGAAAATTAACTAGAGAGATGTGCAGAAAAAATGATGATTATGTTGAATTTCAATAAGAAACAAAATTTTAAAATATCAGTAATTAACTTTTCAATTTTTGTCATTTTAAGTTTTTAGTTTTTATACTCTAGAAGTTATTAAGACTTAAAACTGCACTAAGATTTTGGGACAAACTGTATAACCTCAAATGACCTTCAAACAAGTATTATAGTTGTCAGTTTCCAGATCCAAAATTCTGTGTAAAAATCAAATCAGGAAAAAGTAGTTGAAGACAGAATTTTGGGAAATACTAATTTAAGGAGTCAGAAAGAAGAACAAGTGAAGGGACAGAAAAGAAATATATAATGTTATGGAAGCCAGAAGAGTAAGTATTAATGAAGTCAACAATGTCAAATATTTTAGCTAGGTGAAGGAAGATGAAGACTAAGAAAAAAGCCTTTGGATTAGGTTTTTTTAGGAAGTTCTTAGAATTTAGAGATAGAAGGTCCCTCAGAAGTATACGAAAGGGCCTAAGAGTCCATCTAGTCAAACTCGTACTAGACGGGAATGCCTACCATAACATATTTGATAAGGGATCACACGTATTTTGTTCAAAGACCTTCTGGGAACGGGGAACTATCATCTTTCAAGGCTTACCATTCCACTTTTGGCTAGCTACTAGGCAGTTTTTCTGGACATCATGCTCAAATTTGTTTTTGTTACTTTTACCAATTACTCCAAGTTCTTGTAGGGTCAAACAAGCCAAACTCTTCTTAGTTTGGTAGTAGTCAAACTTAGAACCCCATTACTGTTCTCGTTGTCTGTCTGTCTGTCTGTCTCTCTCTCTCTCTCTCTCCTCTCTCTCTCTCTCTCTCTCTCTCTCTCTCTTTTTTGGTGAGGCAATTGGGGTTAAGTGACTTGCCCAGAGTCACACATCTAGTAAGTGTTATGTGTCTGAGGTCGGATTGGAACTCAGGTGGTCCTGACTCTAGGGCTGGCACTCTATCTACTGTGCCACCTATCTGCTCCAACTCTTCTCTTCTTCAGGCTTAAAAATGCATAGTTCTTCAAACCAATCCTCGTTTGGCATTGGCTTCAGGCTCCTTCATACCCTGATTGCTCTCCTTTGGATGGCCTTCACCTTATCAATGTTCTTATATTGACAGAATGGAGTGACAACCAGTTACAAAATGGAGTTGGTTTAGCATGGGAATTAGATTCTATTGCATGAACACTGACTCTGTATTGTGCTGCCACATGTATTAGCCTCCATCTTTTTTAAAAAAGTTTTTGTAAATCATCCATGGGAGATTAGATGGTATAAGCCATCTATTGTTTAAAAAATGCAGGTGGATACAGTTAATCAGCATCTCTCAATTCAAGGGAAAATAAGATGCTAAAACCCACCTTGCCCTCTCACAAC